GCGAGGAAGTCTCAGGTGGGAGCCCCCCCCCTATGGGGCCCGCACTTCACGTTGGAGGGGGAGGAGGAGGAGGAGGAGGAGGAGGAGGAGGAGGAGGAGGAGGAGAAAGAGGAGGAGGAGGAAGAGAAATAGAAGGGGGAAGAGAGGGCAGCGCAGGGGGCGAGAGGAGAGGGTGTCCGCCAGGAGGAGGAGGAAAGGGCAAAGGGTAAGCTAAACAGATTCTCATGCGGGGTCCTACCGTCGGAGTAATTTTCAAATTCGTATGTCCTGCCTTGGGCCTGACGTATGAAGTCGCGCTTGAGGGCGCACTTTGCGCCGTCCCGCGCCGGCGGCGCCGGTACGGGCGGCGCGCCCTTCGCCGTGCAACGTCGTTTCGGCGGCGGCGGCGGCGCCGGTATGATGCTTGACCGTTGTGGCCGCACCACCATAATACATGAGTGCGAAGACTGCGCAACCGTGAGCCCCTGCGCGTCCTCTCTTGCAACAAAACTCTGCCGCCGCTGACTCCACGAGAGGCGCGACACCGCCGATGCGCGCGTTTGCGGTGGCAACCGATGCCACCCGCCACACTCAACCAATGCGCGTGGGCAGGACGAGGGCGCGAGAGCATTGGTAGCGCACCCCCCAAGCCGAGCAGGGCCTCGCACGAGAAGCCCTGGCCTCTGCGGGATGTTTGTACGCCTTCCACGGGTGCACCAACCGCGGATAAGGCGAGACCAGACCTGCGTGCAACGCCGCGCGCCGCGCCATGCGCGCGAGCATGAACGCTCCGTGCCTTGGGACGGGCCGCGCGCGAATGGCCTTGTCTTCATAGAAATGTAACCGCAGGCGAATGCGTCAAAATGCCTCAGCGCGAGGCCAGCGCGCTGCGCCAGGCAGGAAAGCCACACAGGTCACGGACACCGCCTGCGTTATCTGCAGCAGCGCCTGCCGCGCGCGCGGCCGCGGAGCGAACGGCGCGACCGCGCAAACATTGCGAGGGCGCCGCGAATCGGGGACGTCAAGCGCTCCCCGACTTCTTGGCCCATTTCGCGGGCCGGGGCGGCGTGCGCGGCGCGTCTGGCGCCGGCCTCTTCGAGCTGCCCCACGCGCCCGTCTTCCACATAGATCGGCCCCAGCCGCCGCTGTGCCAGGACGCACCGGAATGCGAAGAGCGCGTCTCCGCCGCGCCCTTGTTCGGCGCGGCGCGGCCACTGCCGCGGCCGTTGCCCGCGGGCGTGGCCTGGGCGGCCTGCCCCTGAGCCTGCAAACGCAACTGTCACGCACGACGCGCGACGCCCCCGGCACGCGCGGGCGACCTTGGCTGCGCGGTCGAACTCGTTCTCGGCAGACCGCAGGGACAACGCGTCGAGCCCTTTCGAGGCCTCCTCAATATTGAACTTCTCGACGCCGCTCTGTCGCGAGCGCAGCTCTTGCGGACGATTTTGTCGTACAGGAGCCCAAGCCCCGCCTTGCGGCCCGCGAGCGGAGCTTCCAAGGCCACCTCGCGAAAGGCAGCGGGCGCGCGCGCCGCTACGTGCGCGCGCTGGCACGTCGCGGACCTGGAGCACAAATCGCTTATGCTCCAAGCAGCGTGCGTAAGATAGCTGCTTAGTGGCAGCAGCCGCAGTCGCCCATGCGTCGTAGGCGAGGTGAAACTCGGCCCACGACAACGCGCGCTGATCTTTATTGCCGCACTCAGCCGTCACTCCGTTGGCGTCTGCGTCGTCGACCCCGTGGGCGCTCGCGGCCCAGGTCGGGAGAAAGCCGCGCAAATCAGAGTAAACGAAAGGATTCGCGCAGCCTCTCTTTCTCGCGAGTACGACCTCGGCAGCCATCCAATCACATTTCTCGCTCCTGTGCAGGGCAGCGACCGCTGTCACCGCCGCTGGCGCGCCCACGTGAGGGCGCGCCTCGGCCAGATCGTCTGGCTGAGGCCGTTCAACGTAATCGTCGCCAACTCAGCGCCCACGGCTACGTGGCGCACGGGGGCGGCCATTTCCACATTGGCCTCCGCCCCGATGCGAGCGTGCAGACCAGGGGGGGCTCGCCGGGCGCGCTCGCGCACGCTGCCTGCTTACCCGCAGTTGTGGCGCGCTCCAGCGCGCGGCGGAGGGCGCCTTTCACGCCCGCTGGCAGGCCCTCCGAGCCTGACAGCTCTTCTAGCCGAATGTTCGCCAGCTGTGCCGGCGTCAGCAGCTTATTAGCGCCTAGGCAGTCAATCGCAGCCTTGCATTCGATGTCCGACCATTCTGCCCCGAACACGGGGTCTTGGCGCAGAAAGCTCAGCAGCGGTCCGTCCGCCATCACGAACAAAGAAGCCAGAAAACACCAGCGTCGCACTGCTCGCACACGCGGGGATCACGCGGCGGGCCGACTGCAACGCAGCGCACTCAACACGCGCACAGAAAGACGGCGACGCCGGTAGCAACACGAGCGAGGTGCCTGCAGATACCTGGCCCGCCGCTTCGCAGACGCAAAACGAACGCGCGCGCCCCGAACGCGGGGGGGGAACGGCGGCGCCGGGAACGCAACGCGAGATGCCTGCGGAAACCTGGTCCGCTTATGGCCGTGAGCGCGGGTCACGCGTCTTACCGAGCGGGCAGGCGCTGGCCAGCTGGTCGATCCTCGCGCTTCGTGCGCGCGGCCCAAGCGGCACCGTGGCCGTCAGTTCCATCGAGGGGCTGCCTGAGGGCCCTGCGGCAGATGTGCGCCTCCGTGGCGACGATCTGTTGCGATCGCGCTGGGGAGCTGGATGCTCCCGCCGCCCGTGCGCGCGACAGTGAGAACACGCAAAAGGGCCAATGTGACACGTCTCGCGACGTGAGGCGGGCTGCGTTGACGGCACCTCGTCGTCGGGCGACATTGCTACACGGCGTACTTAGTAGCCCGCGCAGCGACCCTTATGCGGCCGCCAGTTGCGGGAGGGAGCGCGCAAATCCACACTGGGGCGACACGCGCGGCACGAGCGCGCGCGCTTGTTAAAAGCGTTGTGGTCGCGTGCGCCGCCCTAGGCGCCCGCGACCCGCGCTGGCGGGCGCGCGCGCAGCTTGACCCGGCGGAAGTGCGCTTCATCGCCGCTATCTGGATTGTCCATGAGACGGTAGCGCATCACGGGCGCAGAGACGACCTGGGGCTCAATTATGATATGGCAGACGTCGCGCGGCAAACGCGGCGCGCATTGGGCCAGGGCGAAGCGCAGTTCAGCCCGCACCTGCTCCAGCCTTACTAACCGAGGGCCGACTGCTCCGAGTCGGACAGGCGACCAGCAGCTCTCGTTGGCAGGTGGTGTTGGCATTACTAGGGGCGGGCCCCTTGGCGCTCGCCCCTGCAGCCTGGGGCCCGCCCCCTTAACCAGCAGGTAGCGAAGCCGCTCGCGCGCCTGCGACAACACTGCGTCTGCGTACGCGACCCGCGCGCGGGGCGCGGTGCGCGCCAAGGAGCCCCCCTTTCTGTTTTCGCTTCGAACGGCACGAGCGCCGCCTGCGCAGCCTGCTCCGCCATCGCAAGCAAGCAGAAGCCGCTGACTTCACCCGGCATTCGGAGCCGCTGCGCACCTGCGGCAGCCAGAGCACAAACCGTCGACCGACGGCGGGAGTTCGCTGCCTTTGCGCTGCGAGTCTGGCGCGCTGCGAGTCTCGCGCTCGACTGTTCATTGGGAATTCGAAAGAAACGTTTGCAACGATTGGCCACTATGGGCCTCCAAGCGAGACGCGCGGGTCTGCTGGCAGTCAGGCAAGCCGCAACGGCCGCCCTATCGAATATTGGCCGCTCTATGGGCCGCCAGACATGCGGGCTGGCATCGGCTGCCCTGCTACTGAATGGCCACTCTGGGCCGCCATCCGAGGGTCGCTCTGGGCCCGCGAGGGGGAACCCTATGGGCACGCTGGTCATTTTGGGCCGACGTAAGAGGCCACTCTGGGCTTGATACCAATGCCGTGACCCCTCAGGGCCGTGAAACAGACCCCGCCAGGGTGGAGAAACAACGCGTAGGTCACCAAAGACCAGCGGTGTTGGCCCGAGGTGAACCAAGGGGCACAGGACCCGCAGGGAAAAGCTTTAGACAACGACACCCACGAGGGGCCACACTGGGCCAGAAAAGAAGCGCGACCGCGGTCGCGTCCGACGCACTCTGGCGAACGGACGCCCCGCGCGTCGCCCCCAGGGTTGGTCAAGAGCCGCACGCAGGCAGACAGAGGACCACACCCCGGCCAGCCGCCCCACCTCAAGAGTGCACACTAGGCAGGTGGGGCTCTGCAGACATGACCGGGCACTTGATATCCCGCCCCGCGGCCAGGCGACAAAGAGGAGACAACACGACCGTGCACGGAGGAACGGAGGGAGGAAGGACCCCGACGCACGGCCGCGCGGCACGCCAGCATGCCCGCGCGGGGCCTGGCCCGCCCGACGTAGCGGCGGCGCGTGGCGGGTGGACATGCGGGCGCCCGCCATCGCGCGGTGCGCCGACGGCGGGACACTCCCGCCTGGGGGCGTCGACTTATGACTTGCAATAACAAGTTATTACTGCCCGAGAATCGCCCTAGCATTGCCCAAGAGGGCCCAAGATAGCCCCAAGACAGCCCAAGAGTATCCCACAAGGGCGCCAAGAGCCTCCCAAGCGAGCCCACAGAGGGCTCCAATACTGTCCAAGACGCACAACGTGGTCCACAGACAGCCCACCTGGCCCCTAAGACGGCCCAGTGGCCCGAGATGGCCTCAAGAAGCCCCGGACAGGCGTGCTGGACGCTCCGACGCGGGCCCCAAGAGGGCGCATACAAGCACGAGTGGTGATTTGCCTGAAGCTCTCGACGCCAAAATTCCAAGGAGCGACCGGTGAGGTTCAGCAGCGTCAGCAAGCAGCAGCACGCAGTAGCACGCAGCAGCAGCGGCAGCAAGCAGTAGCACGCAGTAGCTGAGCAGCACCGAGCTCCAGGGTATCATTTCAGCCGTGCGGCAGCATGCTCACAATCACATGGCAGTTTCTGCACACTTCGTGGGCGTAGTCCGTGGGTCGGCCCTAGTCAGCTACAGCGCTGGGATCAGCGCCTGTGGGAAAGGCGAGCAGTGGCAGCGGGCTCTGGCGCTGCTCAGCCAGATGGGTGAGGCGAAATTGGAGCCCAACGTCATCTGCATTTCAGGCGATCGCAAACATGGATCAAGGAGGCGTGGATTAACGACGGGTCCCGTTTCCATGGGAATCTCGGATTTCCGCCGCCGAACGAGGCGGTACCGGCCGCCATTTGGGGAGGGCACCTCCCCCGATCCACGGACATGGCGACTCTGCACGCCCGAAATTGGTACTGAAAGAATGGGTACGATGCCCAACAGCAGCTCCTGCTCATTTTGAACAGGACTCGCCGTCCGCGCCGCCGCGGCCTGTGTCCATTCGAGACAGAAGGCCGCCTGCCAAACAGCGGCTGCTGTTGGTTTACACCATTTGTTGTTGGGCATTGTACCCATTCTTTCGGTACCCATTTCGGGCGTCCAAAGTGACCGCGCGCCAAACCCATGGATCGCTAATCCATGTTTGCGCGCCCCCGAAGTTCTCCAAGCTCTCGACATGTCGAGGGGGTATCTTCTGTGAGGAAGACGCGAGTCTCGAGTTCGCCGGATTTCGGGTTTGCCGACGCCGTTTGACGGGCCCTTCCTGAGTTTGACGGTCCAGTGTTCGTGCGATGTTTGCAGCGGGAGCGCGGGAGCGCGGGAGCGCGGGAGCGCTGGTTCATGCTTGCGCGCCCCCGGGCATTGCAATGCAATGAACAGCACATGCGAACAGGTGAAGCTGCTGACGGCGGGCGGCTCCGGGCAGACTCCCAGGCGCCGGCCCTGGACCGCCTGCACCGCTCTCGCAGGGGGCGCCGGCTCCGTCGAGGGGAGCTTCCAGGAGGCGCCCGGGCCCAGGGCGGGCCCAGGGGGAGCCTCGAGACGGGGGTGAATGCAAGCGGGGGGTCAGCCAGAGCGCTGGATCTTGCAGGATCCTGCAGGGACGGGGTCGCACTGACCCGGGTTTGGGTGCAGGATCCTGCAGGATTTTGCAGGACCCTTCGTATTGACCCGGGCTTGGGCGCGGGATCTTGCAGGCTTGTGCAAGGCCTGACTGACCCGGGTCTGGATTGACCCGGGTCAGGAGATCCCCGAAGGACGACCCTTGGGCGGCGCCTCGACGGCTCCGAGGGCCGCCCGAAATGGCATCAGACATCAGCTCCGACGCGCAACAGTGGCCAGATTCCTGTGTGGCTCCACCGTTCTGAGGGCGCTCCATTTGTGCGGCTTCAGGGAACGTCCAGCAGCGACCTCTGGAGCCCAAGGACGGCCCCAAGCTGGCCCAACAGCCAGCTGCCTGCGGCAAGTCCCGCCACCGTGCCAGGCCCGCCAAACATGTTCGGAGGCGGTTGTTCGAATCGATGGAGATGATGATGATGATGATGATGATGATGATGATGATGATGATGATGATGATGATGATGATGATGATGATGATGATGGTGTTGATGGTGGCGATGATGATGGTGATGATGGTTATGATGGTGATGGTGATGGTGATGGTGATGATGATGATGGTACTGATGATGATGATGATGATGATGAGGAGGATGATGATGATGATGAGGATGATGAGGATGATGAGGATGATGAGGATGATGAGGATGATGAGGATGCCGAGGATGATGAGGATGATGATAATGACGATGATGACGATGATGACGATGATGACGATGATGACGATGATGATGATGATGTTGATGATGATGGTGATGGTGATGGTGATGGTGATGGTGATGGTGATGATGATGATGATGGTGTTGGTGATGCTGATGATGGTTGATGATTGATGATTGATGATGGGTGATGGGTGATTGACGATTGATGACTCTTGATGATTGGTAATGATTATGGTGATGCTGATGATGCTGATGCTGCTGATGATGATGATGGTGGTGATGATGATAGTGATGATGATGATGGTGGTGATGATGATGGTGGTGATGATGATAATGATGATGATGATGGTGATGGTGATGATGGTGATGATGGTGATGATGGTGATGATGGTGATGATGGTGATGATGGTGATGATGGTGATGGTGATGGTGATGATGATGATGGTGATGATGATGATGGTGATGATGGTACTGATGATGATGATGATGATGATGATGATGATGATGATGGTGTTGATGGTGGCGATGATGATGGTGATGATGATGATGATGGTGATGATGGTGATGACGATGACGATGACGATGACGATGACGATGACGATGATGATTATTGAATATGTTCGTTCATTCGGCCAGCCCATATTGCACCACTGCTGCTGGCGTGCCCATGGCGGGCGAAAAGGAGGATAGGGAGCTCGAGAGGGGAGAAGAAGGAGGACAGAAAGAGGAGGAGGGAACCTCTCGACGGCTTCGTGTGCATGCTTCTTTGGGAGGCCTCTTTGGGGTCTCTTGAAAGGTCTCTCGGGGGCGTCTGGGAGGTCTTTTTGTTGGGCCTCCTGGGCCTCTGGGGGGCTTCGTCGGGCCTCTTGGAACCGCTTGGGAGCCTCTTGGGGCCTCTCGGGGCCTCTTGGGAACCTCTGGGGGCCTCTCGGGGGCTGCTAAGGGGCCTCTTAGGGGGCTTCTTCGGGGCCTCTATGGGGCATCTTGATGGTTTCAAGGGAACTCTTAGGGGACTCCTTGAGGACCTGTTGGCGCTTCTTGGGGCATCTGAGGGGGGGCCTCTTTGGGTATCTCGGGGCTCGCTTGGGAGCCTCCTGGGCCGTCTTAGGGTGATGTATGATGCCTCTCTAACCGTCTCAGACGCACAAGGGAGAAACGCTAAGAATGTACGTTTCCCAAAGAATGGAGATATTGTTGCTTGTCGAGGCTACCCTGAGAACCTCTTGGGGACCTCGTTGGCGGTCTTGCTCTTGGACCGTTTTCGGATCCTCCTGCATCTCTCTGAGGCCGTTGGGAGCATCGTAAGTTGCCTTGGAGGCTTGTGGAGCCATCTGGAGCGTTCGTGGAGCGCTCTCGGATGAATGGAAGGCCGCACCCGGGAGCAAAACCATCTCTGATCCGAGTCTGCCGAGACCTTGCCCGGACCTTGCATGGTTCCGGGGGGCTCTTTTCGTCCAGGGACCCCCAGGGGCGGCCTCGCGCGCGCGAATTGGATAGATAAGCAATTCACCTGTTCCTGGAGATTTTAGCACGCCTTCGGCCCGTTGGGCCGGCGAATTCTGATTATGATGTTGATGATGATTTTGATAACGATGGCGATGACGATGGCGATAGCGATGACGATGACGATGACGATGACGATGATGATGATGATGATGATGATGATGACGACGATGATGATGATGATGATGATGATGATGATGATGATGATGATGATGATGATGATGATGATGATGATGGTGTTGGGGAGCCGCCCCTGGCGCGCTGCGCGCGCCAGGGAGGGGGTCCAGCGCGGATCCGAGACATCAGCGCGGACCTCCGAGTTGTTATGTTTATGTAATGTTTCGTTCCCCTAATTTGAGATGTATCTGGGAGGCCCAGGAGGACCCAAGGTAGCACAAGAAGCCTTGACGAAGGCCCCAAGAAGACCCCACGAGCGACCCAACAGGAGACCAAGTGCTCGGCCACGTTCACCTCGAGGCCCTTGGGAGGTTTGCGTGCTGGCCGCTTTCGCGCCTCGTTCCACGCTCCCATCTTCTCGCCCATCATACATCGCTCCTCGCCCCTCTTGCCGCACTCCTTGCTTCTCCTTTCTCACTCATTGCTTCTCTCTGCTGGCCGTTTTTCTCTGGTGGCTACTCGCAGCAGCCACAGGCAACACCTTTCGACCGTTCGGCATCAACAGCGAACAGCAGCAGCAGCACCCTGCAGCAGCACGCAGCATGCATAAGTGGCAATCAGCAGCGGGAAGCGGACGCAACAAGTATCGTAGCAGACACTCAGCCTCAACCAGCACCGAGCAGCAGCACGGCGCAGCAGCACCACGAGCCACATCAAGTTGCAGCACGCAGCGGCCAGCAACAGCCCACAGCGGCGAGGAAGAGCAACATGCAGTTCGATGCAGAAAGTTGCAGCAAGCAGCACTTGACAGAAAGCGGCAGCGAACGGACGGGAGGCAATGATAACTGTTAGCCAATAAGAAGGCGATCTGACCAAAGCTATCAGGCCACCGGGCTAGCGAGCCACGCAAGCAGGACAGGAGGCGAGCAGACAGGTAGGCAAGCGATCCTTGCTTTGGCATGCAGTTAAGTTGTCATTGACAGTAGTCCATGGCTCAGCCCGAGTCTCTACTACATTGCAGGGCCCAGTGCGTGCCAGAAGGGCGCAGGCCCCAATGCACCGAAACCGCCCCGGGCTGGCCCCGGGCCGCCCCAGGCCGCCCAAGCAGGCTCCAGGACATGTCGAGAGGGCCCCCAGAAGCCCCCAAGACGGCCCCGGAGAGCCCCGGCACGCTTAAAGATGGTCCCAAGACGCCCGAGATTCGCCCCAGACGGCCCAAGAGGCGTCCAAGACGCCCGAAGAGGCCTCCCAAGAGGGCCCCGAGCGACAGAAATCGTCGATTTCTATTGTGTTTTTCGATGTTTTCGGCCTCCTCGCCTCTTCGGCTTCCCGACGCTCCAAGACGGCCCAAGAAGTCCCCCCGACCGCTCCAAGACGGCCGAAGAGGACCCCAAGAGAGCCCCAAGACGGGCCAGGAGGGCCCCAAGACGGTCCCAAGACGCCCCAGGACGGCCCCAGGACGGCCCAGGAGGCGCCCAAGACGGCCCAAGAGGCACCCAAGACGGCCCCAGGAGCGGCCCAAGACGGCCCAAGACAGCCCAAGAGGCGCCGAGGCGGGCCTCAGACGGCCCCAAGACGGCCCAAGAGGCACCCAAGACGGCCCGAGAGGGCCCTAAGAGCCCCCCCGGGAGGCCCAAAAGAAGGCCGAAGAGGCTCCGAAACGGCCCCCACGAAGCCTTCAGTGGCTTCAGAATTCCCTCCAGGAGCGGGGGAGCGGACGAGAGGCGACAGGCATATCGCAGGCAAAAACGCCCCAAGAGATCCCCAAACGGCCCCCACGAAGCCCTAAGTGGCCTCAGAATTGCTTCCAGGAGCGGGGGAGCGGACGAGAGGCGACCGGCATATCGAAGGCACAAAAGAACAATGTTGGATGCTCCGAGGGCCTTCGATGTTTCTCTGTTGCGGAGAGTCGTCGCGCGATCGACGATTGCCGACCGAGGGCATGGAGAATCCAGCGAAAGAGGAGAAGAAGGTGGAAGAGGAGGAGGAGAAGGAGGCGGAGGAGGAGTAGGAGGAGGGGGAGGAAGCAGCATGACCTCCGAGCAGCAGCAGCAGCTGAGGAACACAGGAGAGCAGGAGGTCCTGGAAGGTGTGGAGAGCGCCTTCAACTGGCCATCGTGGCCAGAGACCCCTCGCCACGTCGAGCTGATGTCGTGGACGGAGTCCACAGGTCTGCCCTAGTCAGCTACAACGCTGGGATCAGCGCGTGCGAGAAAGGCGAGCAGTGGGAGCGGGCTCTGGCGTTACTTAGGGAGATGCGGGAGGCGAAGTTGGAGCGTAGCATTATCAGCTACAGCGCTGGAATCAGCGCGTGCGAGAAGGGCGAGCAGTGGCAGCGGGCTTTGGAATTATTTGACAGGTTTACGCCATTCCGCCGACCCCCAGGAGAGGGATGAAGTCCACGGGTGAGGCTTTTGAGGGCATCTGATGGGACCCTCTGGGGGCTTTTGGGGGGCCTCTTGGGGGCCTCTTCGGGCCTATTGGAGGTTTGTTCGGCGTCTGCTGGCGGTCTTGGGTGTCCTCTTGGGGCGCAGGGCTCGGAACGTCAACTGGAGTTGCCTCTCTTGGGCCCCTCTTGGGGCCCTGTCGGGGCTCTCTTAGGCCATCACAGGGGCTCCTCTTGGGCCGTCTCGGGACCCTATTCGGCCGCTTTTGGGCCCTCTTGGTGGCTTCTTGGGCCGTCGTGGAGCGAGATTGGGGGCTTATTGAGCTGTCTTGGACGCTGTAAGACAAAAAATGATATGAGGCTCAACATATACGATGTCCCTCTGGATTTGGACGATTATTGCTTCCTGGGGCCCTCTCTGGGGTCATTTTGGAGCCCGCGAGGTTGTCTTTGAGGCCTCCTGGGTAGTCTTGAGACCAGCGTGGTCTTTTGGGACTCCTCGGAGTGTTGGAGCCCAGCGTGAGCCAGCTCGGATGGCATCTTGGGCATCCTGGAGGCCACGGAGTGTAGGCTTGGAGGCTCCGGAGGACCCCGGGGTGCGTTGACGAGCTCGTCCCCCCAACCCCCCCGGGGGCCGCCCCTTCTAGTCACGCTTCAAGCCCTCCAGAACAGGGGAAGGAGGAGGGGGAAAGCCAATCGTCTCACACGCGCTTGCACCCCTGGCGGGCGGGGGTCGGCGGACTCGGTGAGATGTGGGAGGCGAAGTTCCAGCGCGCCGTCATGTTTATCATTCCGGGCTGAGCGCGTGCGAGGAAGCCCCAATCTGCTCCCGAGTTGCCTCCCAGGTCAATCGTGCTTCCCCAGGCCCATGCATTCGAGGCAGCTGCAGCACCCATGAGCAGCTGGCAGCGCCCCCGAGGGGCGACACAACCTGTGACGGCCTGTCGGATTTCGTGTGCTGTTCGTGCTATGCCCATTTCTGCCCGCATGGCTCCGAGACTGGCCCAGAGACTTCAAAAAGGCCCGAGAAGTTGACAAACGAATGCCCGAGAAGTCCAGCGGAGCCCCTTGGGAGGGCCACAGACGCGCCCAAGGGAGTCCGAGATAGCCCCAGCGGGCCTCAGTGAGGGCTCCACGACGGCTCACGACCGCCCGAGGGGTTACGGCCAGAGGGTCTTGTGTGCAAGCGAGCCCTGGAAGGCCCCGCGAGGTCTGCCGCAGAAGGCCCCGAGGGCGCACGAGACAGGCCGAGGGGCAACGGAGCACGTCCCACAACGAACGCGACATGAACAGCATACTCTACATTCTTACTGAGCGTGGGGGGGTACTCCCCCGACGGGGGTCAGCCTCGCCTCGTCGTCGCGCCGCGACGGGGGTCGGAGCGCCTTCGGCGCGGGGTGGCTGCCCGCGACGCGGGTCGATGTGGGGATGTCGGCGGGGGTGGCGCCCCCCCGACGCTTATTGAGAAACTCGGAGCACCCGTCGGTCGGAAGAAGTGGGTAGAAGCATTACGTATGAAGGCGTTGGAAGTACATTGTGCTTCCGCCCGCCCCCTGAAGAGGAAGGAAACCCGACAACCACTCGATCATTGGCGCCTAAAGTAGATTGGGATTTGGGAATCCAGAGATACCTACTTCCAACGACCGACGTGTACGTCTTACTTGCCTATCTCACTGCGCTTCGGCTTCGGCTCCTGTCCCATGGTCTGGCAGTCGTGAGAATCTCGTTGCCTCATTTCAGCATCAAGCTCTCCAGCAAGAACAGCAGAGCGACCCATGAGGGATGCACTGGCGCCCTGGCTCCATTTCAGCGACATGTCCAGGGGGAAGTGAGAGGGGGCAGGCCTTATCGCAAGATGGCGGGGCTTCTCGGAAGCCCTTGCGCCTTCCGAGGAGGTTTCGGAGCCTTCTCTGAAGACAGGCGGCTTCGTAGAAGGCGCCAGGGCTTCTGAGAATCCCCGCCGCCTTCCGAGAAGGCCTGCCCCCTCTAACCATAGACGCCGCCTCTGCGGCTCGCCGAGAGCAGCCGACCGTCTGACAGACCAGACCCCGACGCGAGCCTCCGCGGAGGGGCAGCGGGGCAGCCAGTTCTGCCGCTGCTCGCCGAGAAGCGGGATGCGAGATCCAAGCGCAGCGTAACGACAGCATCTCGGCAGCGTTCCACCCTCGGCGACCACACAGGGTGTGGTTACGCCAGGGTGTGGCTTACGATCTGCATCGGTGGGGGCTTCGGGGGCACGACGTTGCCCTCGTCGGGTCGCCTCGGGGCGCAGCGGAGAACGCTGTCGCGGTCCTCGCCCGCCCCTCCAGGGCGCGTATAGCAAACCACACCCTGTGCTGGCCATACCCTGCGGAGTCGCCGACACTCCCCACCTACGGTCCGGTGATCTCGTGACGAGTGTGCGAAGAACAGAAAACAACGTAAACATACATTTTCGGAGGTCCGGATGGATTTCTTGGATCGGTGTTGGGTCCCCTTGGCAGCGCCTCTGGCGCCAGGGAGGGAAGTCCAGCGTCGATCCAAGGAATCCTCGCAGACCTCCGAAAGTTTATGTTTATGCCGCTTGTTGTTTCGCTAGGCAGCTCACCAGCAGGCCATGTAGTCTCTCCTACATGTCCAGTGGATCTGCGTGCGAGAAAGGTTCACAGGGCCTCGTGTGCACAAAATCGCCTCGTGTGCCACCACGGGGCCGAATCGTTCAGGCCGGTCCCAGAGGCGCTCCAGAGGGGTTGCCAGACCGTCCAAGAGCGCTCCAAGACGGCCTCAGTGGGTCCCGAGACGGCCCACGAGGGCCCGAAGCCTTCCAGGGGGGGCTCCACGATGATCCAAGAGGCCGCAAAGACGCCCCAAGAGGGCCCCGAGCACACGCCAAAGACGCACAAATCGTCAAATTCCGATCGGGAAAAGCATATTTTCAGCATGCCCGCCTTGTGTGCTCCTCAGCGGCCCAGGACACGCCAAGAGGCCTCCCAAATCGCCCCAAGAAGACGCCAGCAGCCCCTAAGAGGGCTCCGAGACAGCACACAAGAGCCCCAAGACGACGCCAGAGAGCCCTGAAACGGCCCCAAGACGGCCCCAAGAGAGCTCCGAGGGGGCCCCAAAAGGCTCCCAAGACGGCCTCAGGCAGCCTCAAGAGAGCCCCCAGACGGTCCAGGGCCTCCCGGACGCCCCGTGACGGCCCAAAAAGACCCCAAAACGTCCCAAAACGCTCCCAGAGCAGCCCAAAAAAGTTTCAGAATGCACAAAATCGCTTCTTTATCGCGCCACCACGGGGCCGAATCGTTCAGGCCGGTCCCAGAGGCGCTCCAGAGGGGTTGCCAGACTGTCCAAGAGCGCTCCAAGACGGCCTCAGTGGGTCCCGAGACGGCCCACGAGGGCCCGAAGCCTTCCAGGGGGGGCTCCACGATGATCCAAGAGGCCGCAAAGACGCCCCAAGAGGGCTCCGAGCGCACGCCAAAGACGCACAAATCGTCAAATTCCGATCGGATATTTTCAGCATGCCCGCCTTGTGTGCTCCTCAGCGGCCCAGGACACGCCAAGAGGCCTCCCAAATCGCCCCAAGAAGACGCCAGCGGCCCCTAAGAGGGCTCCGAGACGGCCCACAAGAGCCCCAAGACGACGCCAGAGAGCCTTGAAACAGCCTCACAGAACCCCAAGACGGCCCCAAGAGAGCTCCGAGGGGGCCCCAAGAGGCTCCCAAGACGGCCTCAGGCAGTCTCAAGAGAGCTCCAAGACGGTCCAAGGCCTCCGGACGCCCCGTGACGGCCCAAAAAGGCCCCAAAACGTTCCCAGAGCAGCCGAAAAAAGCATCAGAATGGCCCGAAAAAGACCCCCACAAGGACCACCAAGCAGGCCCAGAGACGCCCACTAAAAGAAAGATCGGTGAAGTACAAAGCTTTTCTCACCAAGGCTCCCAAGAGCGAGACGCAGCGTAGAGAGCTCTCCCAGGCACAGCTCCCAAGAGCGAGCGATGACGTCGGGACACCCTTCCGACCTCTCACACAGGAGCACGCACGCACAGCACGCAAGCACAATACATTTCCTGGGCTGTTCCCCGGAAGAGGCTCGGGGGGACAGCGCGGGAACGGCCCCAGAGGCGCCCCCGAAAACTTCAAGAGTAAAGGCCCCCAGGAGGCCGCAAGACGGCCCAAGAGGTCCCCAAGAGGCCACCAGGAGGCCGCAAGACAGCCAACGAGGCCCCAACAGGCCCCCAGGAGCTCGAAAAGAAACTCCGAGAGGCCGAATAACAGTTCCCAAGGAGACGGCAGCGCCCGCCATCAGGCTTCGAAAAGGCAGCCAGAAAAGAGTCACCAGAGCCCTCCAGGTGACTTTTTTCAAGGCCCCAGGTGCTCTCCAAATTGGCAAGCGGCGAGACTTACACCGCAGACCCACCATAGCCGTCTGTGACGCTCCGAAGGCTGTCTAGGCGGAGGTAGAGCGGAAGGCGGACGAAGAGAACGAAGCGGTCCAAGAGGGCCTCCCAGACGGCCCAAGACCGCTCGAAGACGTTCCAGACGAGCCGCGGCAAACGAAATCATTGATTATTCTATGGTTTCTGAATGACTTCCACCTTCTCGCCATTTCGAGCGAAAACAGGCCCGAGCCGAGACTGGCCCAAGATCACGTGGACGAAGTCCATGGGTTCGCCCTAGTCAGCTACAACGCCGCGATCAGCGCGTGCGAGAAAGCAGAGCAGTGGCAGCGTGCTCTGGCGTTGTTCGGCCAGATGTTGGAGGCGAGGCTGGAGCCCAACGTCATCGAATTTGCCCTGCCGGGAGTCGCGAGTCGCACGTGCGATCGGGGCATTGTCGTTCGTTAAAGGCTTAACGACTTCTGCCGTCCTTCGACTCGCGCTGGAGCGGCCGCGAGTTGCTCCAACTTTTCCTGGAGATCTCTGGATTTACCTGGATTTACCCGGATCTCGATGTACCTGCATTGACCTGGATTGACCTCGATTGATCTGCATTTACCTGGATGTATGTGGCTCGATCCCCACAAGTCGATTGGCGAAACGTCGACAAGCCCTTAGGGAGTCGTCACCGGTTCGCCCGCCCCAAACGCTGGCGCTCGGCCGCGCGCTGCCGGGCTGGGCGAGTCGAGAGGCCCTTTCTGAGCCTCCTCGGCTCGGCTGCCAGCACCAGCAAGCAGCAGCATGCAGCATGCAGCAGCAGCAGCAGCAGCAGGAGGAGGAGGAGGAGGAGGAGGAAGAAGACACCCAGCCCCCCCGTCGCAAAGGGCCTCGCGAGGCACAAGGAGATCAAGGACGGCATCCACAAGTCGATGCCTTTTTCTGAGATGCGGGGAAGTAATAAACTCCCGCCTCGCACGGCCACGGTCCGCGAAGACCAGAGGCCCGATATCGTAAGGATCGTTTCGAGGAGGAGAAGGCGGCAGCAGCAGCAGCAGCACGCGTTCACGTCACCAGCACCAGACGGCAGCAAGCAGCAGCAGGCAGTCCGCAACAAGCAGCACCAGGCAACAGTAGGCACCAGCACCAGGCCGTATAGCTGGAAGCAGCACGCACCAGCAGATGCCAGGCAGCAGCAGCAGCAGCAGCAGCAGCCGCGAGAAACACTCAATGATACGAAGCAGCAGCACGCGGCAGTAAGCGGCAGCGATCGGATAAGCAAACAATGAAGCACCCCCGCAAGTTGGAAACCAGGCAACTAGACCAGCGTACCAGCGGGCAAGCAGGCCAGCAAGCCGACGGGCCAGCAGGCACGCAACCGCGCAGGCAGGACAACATACACGCAGGTGAGGAGGCGAGCAGACCTAGCAAGCAGCAGCAGCCTGCAGCAGAAAGCAAAAAGCAGCACGCAGCGGTATCCAGCATTAGCAGCACAACCGCCAAGGAAAAGCTAGCGGCAGCAAGCTAACAGCAGCAACGAGCCGCGGCAAGCAGCAGCACGTACCAGCAATCCAGCGGCAGCAGCCGATAGCCACAAACAGCAACAGCAAGCGGCAGTAAGCGGTAGTAAGCGAACGAGCAAGCGGTGAAGCAAGATCGTTGGCAAAGCGACAATTCAGACTAGTCGGCCAGCAAGCGGGCAGGAAGGTCTGGGAGGCAGTTGTCAGGTCCGGCACGCGAGCAGGCGAGCAGGCAACCGAGTAAGCCGTCGCGGGCGTCAGTCCACAGGTCGCCGAGTGGCCGCTCTCGCAGCGGACCAAGGGCAGTCCTCCCTCCCAGGTCCTACAGTCGGCCCGGATTAGTAGGTCGACCCTGCCAGCTCAAGGGCACCAGTGTGTCCTGTGCCTCGCGACATGTGCCTTCTTACAGTCCTATGGCGATGTGGCCCTCGGAAGGGTCTTGTGTCCTCTCGCGTGTCCTGTCCAATCGAGGCCGACTGTAGACAGCCGAACAAAGTGTCCAGGGAGGCGCCCGAGACGGCCCTCAGATCCCAGGACGGCTCGAGACAGCGCCAGTGTGGCTCCAGCGGGATCCCAAGGTGGCCCTGCGCAGGGCTGCCGAGAGGGACGGGCCCCGAAGTTTCATTTCCCGGTAGGTCCCCAGAGGCCGGCAAGGGTCTTGGGAACCCCCAAACCGGGTGGTGAGAAACCAGGTGGCGACCTGGAATCCCCAAAAAGGTCACCGCTGGGTTTGGGGACGCGGGGTCACCACCGGGTTTTGTGACTCCTGGACCCACCAGTGTCCGGGACATCCTGCGAAAACCGCACGAGTCCCCAAACCAGGTGGTGACACCAAATCGCCCGAGACTCACCGCCAGGTGTTGTCACCACCACGTTTGGGGACTACCAAGGGTCTCCAAAGGGGAGGGGTCGTGGACGGCCCAGAAGTCTCAGGAGGGGGGGGAAAAAAACAGACACCATTGATCGTTCATTCCCCGGAAGCATGTGGGAAATATGCGGAGTGGGGGGGGAGACAAAAAACCCGAAAATGTAGGAAAATATGGGGAGTCGTTTTAATGGTGTGTATTTATTTGTGTGTGAATCCCAGGGCCCCTTCAAAGTCGTCGTAGCAAAGCGTCTGAATGGCAGGATGATGCGTAATGCTCAAGTGTATCTCCCGCGCGCCTCTGTGAGTTGGTTTCACGTTGGGTGGATGAGTGTGGACCTGGGAGACTGCCAATGGTAATGTTCCAAAGCCTCTGCTGCCACATAACGAAAATCCAATGCCCCTGCTACACGTTCTTGACTTCGTGACCTGAGATACTTGGCATGGTGGGAAGCCCATTCCCGTACCGCACTTTGCGGAGTGGCAAATGTGCAGCCCCGCAACAGCGTACCCCACACGGACGGCAAGGATCAGCCGTTGGGGCATGCGCAACATAAAATCGGAGGTCTGGGCCGCATGATAGAATTCCACTTGGATGGTCAGCACCAGGCGCTTGGGAATTTAGCGACGCGTCCGACGTAGAACAGCGAATGTGGCCCACTTAATATCGTTTTCACATAATATTAAGCATTCGGCGATGAGGTTCGTGGGACCCGCACCTCTTACAGGGATGGTAAGGATCAGGCGCTAGGGTGCGCGCTTTGGGCAGGCGGCACCATCCTCGAGCGGGCACAAGGGAAACACCGCGCCGGTGCCGCGAACGCGTCCGCAACGGAAGCGTGTGATCCCAGCGGAGTCGATATCTAACCACTCGTAGATTGCCACTGCAGGATGGCCCCAACACTCTGTCCAAGCGGTCCCCGGACTCCAACCCAAAAGGACCCACCGAGAGGTTCCCTTCTACAGTCTTGGGCGCAGCGAGGCCGAAAGAAACGCGCAGGACCCCTGGCTTCGATGGAGCCACATTGGCCATGCCGGCCCACAGACGAGCGCGGAGGGTCCCGAAGAGACCCTGAAGAGGCTTCGAAGTGCTCCGCGGGGCGAGCCTCCAAGATGGACCAACAGGGTTTCAAGACGGCCCCAAGACGTCCGAGAGGCCCCACGATGGCTTCCTCAGAGCTTCACGAGGCCCCAAGAGGAGCCCTGGAGACCCTCCACGAAGCTTGGAATCATGGAAACCAACATACATTCGGACACAGGTAAAAGATCGAGGTCTGTTCGGAGAGGGTACCCTAGTGTTCTTCGTGTTTGTTGGATGTTCTTGTGCACCCTTAATGTTCTGTGTGTGGGTGTGTTGGTCGACGGAGGGTCTCATGTTCCTGAGGAATGTTTTTCTGGCCTAGCTCCGCCTGTACGTGTTTCCAACATGCCTGACATCATCCTTCGTAAGACAGTTTCCAGACGAGCTCCAAACACTCCTGACAGCGAAGAAGGGGCTCCCAAGACGCTCTAGGAGGACCTCGGGTGCTCCAAAGATAGCTCAGGATTATCGTGCATGCCTTGCCTCGCAGCTGGCCCCAAGGCGACTCCATGACCGCCCAAGGCCGCCCCAACGTGGTGCCAAGAGATCCTCAGACTGTCCCCGCGCCCCCAAAAGTTGCCACAGAGTCGCTCTCATTGTCGCCCACGCAGTCCGAAAAGGGCCCACGAGGGTCCAAGAGAGCCCAAGAGGGCCTCACGAAGGCACCTGACAGAGCCCAAGATGTCCCCGAGAGCGCCCCGGGATCCTGATCTACGCGTCGTCCCCACAGTCTCTGTAGAGCCCCTGGGTCCATGAGATCAACACGATGAGTGCAGGGTCCCCGAGGCTATGAGACCACCTGCTGTCTGTCACTGAACATGCTACAGTGGAAACCCATGCCAAGAAATACCCTAGTTTCTCCAGGGTGCACTGGTTTTTTTGGAGTTCAAACACGCTTCGGTTGCTAGTCCGCCAGGATTGGTCTGCCCTTAGGTCCACATTTTGTCAGCTACAGCGCTGGGATCAGCGCGATGCTATGTAAGCTCGCTCGGTTGCTAGCCCGCGATAATTGGTCTGCCCTTAGGTTCACACGTTGTCAGCTACAGCGCAGGGATCAGCGCGTGCGAGAAGAGCCGGCAGTGGCAGCGCGCTCTCACCCTGCTCAGCGAGATGTGGGAGGCGATTTTGGAGGCCAATCTCATCTCCCCTGCAGTGACCAATGTTGTACGTGCGGGACTAGCTCGCAGTTGTAGCAGGAAATCGGGACCGGACCGCCTCCGAAGACTCCCATGGCCAGGCTGCGCATCAGAGTGACCCTTCGCTGGAGTGACCTTCGGTGCGGGGACCAGAGGGGTCCCCCCCCAGCACCTGGTTGGCGAGTTAGGATTCGAACCCACAGCGGCTCACCAAGGCCTCACACCAAAGATCACCTCTTGCCCAGGGTCCCTTCTTGCGTGCAGCTGGGGGACGGCCCCAGCGCGACCCAGTGATTCGGCTACGTGCAGAGGGGGGCAGGGGGAGTGGGGAAGACTTTTTAGAAGCACCCCTGCTTCTTGAAAGGCGCGGGCCTTGTCTGTGCATGTGAGGCCCGCCCCTCCTAAGAAGCGGCATCCTTTTAAGAAGCCTCCCCGGGGTCCCCCCCCCTGCTACCCCCCTTTGCGCGCCGCCAAGGGACGGCGCGAAGACGGCCCCCAGGGCCCCCAAGAGGGGCCCGATACGGCCCCGACAGGCCCCAGGAGGCTTCGGCGAGGCGCACGAGGGGCCCTCCGAGAGGACTCTGACGAGGCGCCAGGGCAGGCCCGAGGGCTCTCCGTGAGTCAATGGTTTGCGCCAGTCTTGAGTCGGGCATGTTCCTCCGCAGGAGGAACCTTCAAGAAAAGTCAATCACCATTTGGGGGGATGTTTTGACCATTTATTATTTTTCGTCCAAAATCCGCCTGCAGGGGGACACGCCCGACCTGACGCCAGTCTGCCAAGTCCCCCGACAGGCGTAGATCAGGGGGAACGCCAGGGGGAGACTGGGCTCACGGGGAGAACCATTGACTCGGGCGATCGCACACATAGATCACGGGGGCGTGGATGAGCGACGGGTCCCTTCTCCACGGGAGGAATCGCGGCTTTCCGCCGCCGAGCGGGAGGAATCGCGGCTTTCCGCCGCCGA